ATATGTGTCCCAACTGGGCTAGTAGGCCATGTTTCACTGACTCTTCAAGAGTATTCAGTGCTATCCATCCCCATTGTGTCCGGGGTGCCATAGTGGTTTTGAAATACATGGTGATTTCTTGTAACCACTTGGTTAAGGCCTGTTTATCTTCATTCCATTTTGGGGGTTTCATGCCCTGACTGTTCATCTTAGGCATGTTCATGCTCACCTGAGCTTCCCTTCCGGGTTCGTAATAAACTGGCGCATATGGAATCTCCTGCGCCGCTGCCAAATAGGCTTGAACGGTATAACCCGGCCCTTGGGGATTGTACCCCTCCGGAGGCGGTGGAGGCCCCATTTCCGCCCGATGTGGCTCAACAGCCTGATCACCCTCCAGCCCAAACAGAAATTCCTCATGTGGAGGTTCCTGGGTCTGGAAACGACCGGGCGGGTACTCGTACACCCTCTCGTAACCTCCCGATCCGGATGGATGGGATGATCCACTGTAAGCGGGTGTTGGGTACTCCTCTTGTCTTGGGGCGATCTCCGCCTGTGGTACCCTTCCGGGTTGATATGCCCTCCCGGGCTGTGCTGCCATCCCTGGCTGATAGTACCGAACTGGCGGATACACAGCTGACTCCGGCGCAAATGGAGATATCTCCTGCAGCCTTTGAATCTTTTGCTGCGTCATTTGCACAGGAGGCTGTGATGTCCGCTGTCCAGCCTGCCCCATTGTATAAGGCCGCACCGGCTGTCTTGGCGCCATTTCTGGCTGAGCCACTGGACGAGCCGGTGTGGAGGGACCTGCCTGCATCGATGGTCCCGGGGGCATTTACACCGATCCCTCTTCAGGGACTTTTCGGCCAGTTCTCTGGATGGCCTGCCATTCCATGGCTGCTTCCTGACCCTCTGGCACATATATCCCCAGTGCCGTCTGCTGCGCATCAAAGAGGCCACGCAGCTTCCCGGGTATACGTTGGAGGGCGTCCCTTGGGACTTGGGCCCTGTATGGGGCATGTCATCCACGGGGATGATAATACCCCTTAAAGTATACCCCTCCATGAGGGTCATGAAAGGCGCCCAGCGTATCCCAAAAGCCCCTCGTGTCCTGGATGACAGGAACACGCATCACTGGGGTGGGCTTTGCAGCCTCGGGCGGCCCCTTGGCACGTCCTCTTTGATCAGCCGCCATTTGCTGGGCGCGGCGTTCCTGGTATCCAGGCCCCGGTTTCGCCGGTTTATAGGCAATTTCCTGCCGTCCATGAAAAATCTGCTTTGCTTCTTGCAGCTCCAGATATGCTGCATAGTCTTCATCCCCCATCAAGGAACGAAGCTGTGCAGCTTTCTCTGCATCCGCCTTTGCTTTCTGCAAAGCAGCTTCCTGCCTCTGCAGGATCTCGTATGTCTCCCGTCTTTCCCGGGGAATTGGACTGGCAGGTTCACCTGCTGAACCGAGATACACAATCTCATCGTTACCAGCAGAATCACCAATTTCTGCACGGTTACGCGTCTGTGTATTCTTCACAACAGGTCGCAGCAAAGACAGTTCAACAGGATGTTTACCTGAAGACTGGCCTTTGCGGGCCTTTGGATTCCTCCTTTGCCTTTCTAGGCTGTATTCTCGCCTCTGCAGGCGGGTCTTTGGCCTTATCAGGCTGTTCTTTCGCCTTTGCTTCTCCAAGCGGGATCTCCCTCTCCGGCATCCTTTGCACCTTAGGACCGCTGGTTTCCACAACCGATGGCGATGCCGGCTCCGGTTGGAGAGGGACAAAGCGGGCAGGGTGGTTTACACCACTGTCACTGCCGCTACTGTCCTGCTGGTCTGCCCAGCGGGTGGAGGTCCCCTCCTTGGCAATACGGGCAAAGGCCTTAGCCTGCTCGGCCGGATCCAGCTCATCGACCTTGGGCTGTACCTCCAGGCGCTGCGCCTTTTGGCTGCCTCCTGCGGAGAAAAACCGCTTGATCTCAGCCTTGCGCTGGCGTTTGTGAGCTCGCTTACGCTCATACTTTTCAGGATTCAATTGACGATCCCGCTCACGTCGCAGCGCTTTCAATTCTCTCCGCTGTTTGGCCTTTCTGGCCTTTTGCTCGTCTAATTTCTTTGCCCGAGCAAAACGATCTCGGTTACGAATCCGTCGTCTCTCCTTCTCCATCCTATGCACTTGTGCACGGGTTGACATATCACCCGGCAAAGGAGAAGCACATGATGAGAACGACAATTCCGAGATCTCCTCCCACCGCTCGTGGGGATCATTAGGGTCTGGTCTCTCTGGACTCCCCTCGCTCAAGTCCCATGGTTCCGGGATATGCCTGAGCGCAAAGGCCATCTTTTCTGGCCAATTTGGGTCCTCTTTGGCAATTTGATCTGCCATTCCAGGACCATACCACCTTTGTATTCTAACCAGTCTGGCGGTGGTTAACCTTTCTCCAAACTGGTCGGCGGCCATCCGCCATCCCTCGTCAAGCTCATCGACGAGATCACTGTGGAACTTTGTCCACATTGCACGGCACGGTGGTTGCCGGCTATATGGATCTCGAGTGTCTGGAACGAACTCCAGCACCCTTGAGCTTTCACCCGGCCCCCATTCTGGTAGCGCAGGCCTCCGAGGGCTCCAATTATGGCCTCCCGGCCTTGGCGGACTTTTTCCGCAAACAGCTTGAGCGCTTTCTGTGAGCGACTCATCTCCAGTCCCGTCCGATCCACTAGGTGTTCTCACATACACCTGGGATTTGAGCCGTAGCTCCGGGATCTTGACCTTCCGGCCTTGCATTCTTTCAACTCGCCCTAAGGCTTTGGCCTCCCGGCCTTGATATGGAGATTTCTCACTTTCCATCGGCCGCTCACCTGGCGATGGACTCTTCCGCTTGGAGCGCTGCTTGCCAGCAACCTTCCAGTCTTCCTCTGGGATGGTTGGCATGGGCAGCTCCGACGGACTGGGGGCCCTCACAGCTGGCACCACCTGTTGGGCGCTTCTCTCTTCTGCCTCCTGGGCCCGCTGCTTTTGCTTCAGGAGGCGGTCACTCAACGCCTTGACCTGGTCTTCGGCGGAGGTTTTGGCTTCTTGGGCCTCGCGGCTCTGCTGCTTCGCCTTCTTCATGGCCAGCTCTTTCTCTCGAGCTTCTTTCTTGGCCTTGTTGGCGGCGATCTCCAGCGAGGCGATCCTCTCGGCGGTCTCTTCATCCCGCTTCGCTCTCGCCTTCTCGGCCGCGGTATCCGCCATCTTCTGCAGGAGCTCTTTGATACCAGGGATCTTCAGCAACGTCGCCGCCGCCTCAGCGTCCTGGTCTTGCTCCTGTGTCTTCTCCGCCGCCGGCGGGGTATCCACTTCTTCCATCGGCTCATCTTCTGCTGCGGGTGCCGATGTGGCTGTGGAGGGTCCAGCCATGTCCTCCCGGACTGTTACACCTCCTGGCCCATCCCGGGCTTGTTCAGTTCCTTGCCCATCCCGGGCTGTATCGATCGCCTGCCCATCCCGGGCTTGTTCTTCCCCCTGCCCATCCCGGGCTTGTTCCTCCGATTCCTCAGCCTCCATGGAGGAGGCCGGGGAAGGGCTTCGGCGTCTTGTACTCTCGCGCGCTCCCAGGTGGAAGCGTGGCCGCCACCCTCAGGCGGCTCCGAAACCAATTGTTACGAATAGGATGTGGGTGTGGGGTTCCTGCCCTCTTTGAGCCGCGGACCCGCCTCGGCGGGCACCTAGGTCCTTACAGGGCACCTAGGCGGGACCACCCCTCCTACTCCCGTATCCTAATATGGATAAAGGTTACATTGGGTGAGGAATAGTACGTGCCTTGGGCAGGGCGTCCCCCACACCAAGAGCCATTAGTAGGACGTCTCCCACATCAGGCTGGTGCGCGTAACAGGTATTGTGTGGCATCCCGTGTGGTCCTTGAGGTCACCTGCAGATGGAAACAAAAGTCTGAGAGTCGCATCCTGTGAACAATTAGTTTTATAACCAATACATCATTCGTATGAGATGTGCACAATCTTACCTTTGTTGCATCAAATTCTGGATGGTGCACAATGTTGAGCAGATCTTGCATGTCGTTTTTTGACAATCCTTTCCCTCCATTGCATGTATGCATGAAATGTATTAATTTAAACTGTGGGTCATATGCTCCATCCACCCCGCTTCCACATCCTCCATCACTGTCACTGCTGTTGTCAGTGTTGTCAGTGTTGTTAGTGTTTCTGTCAGCTGGAGCCAGGTCAGAACTGTCCGAGGTCTTGCTATTCTCTGAAACACCTGGCTGATCCTCTTCATGTGCATTCCTGAATGCCCCAGACACATGCATGGCAGTCAGAAGCACACGAACATGTGGTGTTGGTGATGGCAGTCACCTGTGGTAATGCGATGTGTTATGCGATTCATGGTGAACGGCAGACGATGGCCTTCCGTTGATTTCAAGCATGCCTTGTGACACGATGTAAGAATTGTATCTGAATGGAGAAAGAGGGGATGGACGGATGGCCGCATCAACGAATGGGAGATCCAAGTCATAACATGCCAACCGCTTCTTGTACCTGCAGGAAACGGTGCGTGTAGTCGCAGAACTATCATAGACAGCCATACCATCCACAAACAACGGCTCATACGGCTGGTACACAGCATTCTTCCGGATTTAATTTCCATACAGCATACACTTGCCTTATTGGTCCAAAAACCGCCGAGCACCTAGCACCGAAACGCTTTGCATGTCGTTGAATAGCTCCCAAATTGTCAAAGTGCCGGCTGCATTTCTCACAGCGGTACATGTCGACCTGATGCAACCCAAACGAACGCCAAATTCAAAACTGGAATTTCAAACTTCAGCACGGCAATCAGTTTGATGGATCCCTGCGCCAGCCCCGCGCTGCTTCAAACCGATACCCGCAACCCGAGCATGGAGTGACTTGCCGACAAGAGAGCATGGCACTCCTGCGGGAAGTAATGGAAACGTCTGCGCGACGACGATCCACTTGTTTACGCGGGCGCTAGCACATCGAATCCACAGAGCATGACGAACCCGCGCTTTGCATCATCTCAATCGGATGGGATGGCGAAGAAGACCAAGACAAGGCTGAAGAAATGCCAACAGAAAGAGAAGGACAGGCTGCAGGACGAGAAATGGAGAGCCCGCTTGCAGGAAGGGCTTCCCGTCGTGGGGCGTCCGAATGCATTGACCGAAGCCACTGAATCACGCGGCGGAAGCGTCACACCGTGGTTGCGCTCACCTGCTTGGCGGCAGAACGATGGCGATTCGGTGCAAGCGCATTACAAGCCCAATTGGTCTGCTGCCGTTGTCGACGATGGAAGTGGATCGGAGTTGGACACTGTGTTCGAAAGGCACAGACCACTGGTCAAGAAATGCGACCCTAAGCCCACCATCGAGTATTGCATACAGGTGGTGTCGGCACTGAACGAGATGCCAGCCGTGAAGACAAAGATAATAATGGCGCTGACAAACAGCGCACGTCCCGCTCATGCCACCAGCGGGTTGGGTTCCATGACCCATGCAAAAATAGCTCCAGGGGATGATGTGTTCCATTCCAAACCATTCACGGACAGCCTATCCGTGTTGCGAGTATCCCGAGCTGCGGGTCACGAGCATGCCCATGGGCTGCTGGTGGAGCAGCACGAATGGGAGAATATTGTGTGGAACAGGATGTTGGAGGAAAGACTGCTGGTCCTAGAGGACAAAAATGGCTTCAAAGAGGTGACACCTGTCCTTTGCATTCGTGGCATCAGACCTGACAACCACAGCAACACACCAGCATTCTTTGTCAACAGCCACACCAGCATTCATTTTCAACAAGCACACCAATATTGGTTTGCAACAAGCACAACAACATTGATTTTCAACAAGTGCAACAGCATTCATTTTCAACAAGCACAACAACATTCATGTTCATTTCCTCGCCTACCAAATCGCACACTACCTGCAGCACAGATGCTTGGATGTACACTACCAACAAAAAGTTTCACATCACTTGTGTTGCATCAGAGTTCACAAGCACAACAACGCAACGATGAACTGATCAACAACAACACATTAATTCAATCAAAATGCCCAGCACCTGGGAGTACTAAACAAGCATTTAGTAGTTGCAAACTTGACTAAAGTAAATATGTATTTTTCTTAGTGGTGGACTACGGAAGGAGAAAAACAATGGATGCGCAAGTGGGACATGGCATTGGCACGGCTGGCAAGCAAACTGGTAAGTTGTTGTTCTTCTTGCAATACCCACCATGGTCAAATAGTTATACCAATGCATCAAGTTACCAAGTTGTGTATCATGGTCACAGCACCAACACATGCAATGTCACTTTTTGTGAACCCTTTCCAATTGGATTAATTTAATTGACCTCTTACCGTCCTATGCTACTTGTTTAGGTCAAAATTTACTTCAAGGTGTCTGGCCATTGTGTGCCTCAACCACTTGAGAAGAAATGCATAGATGGTGATCGCATTGCCAGCCACCAACGCCAATGCAAAGAGTTTTCCAACTTCTGTGGATACCTGCAGTCAGGTAAGAAGCTACCAAATGTGCATTTACAGCCATGAAATGAAGCATCCACAACTTCAACTAAATGCCGTGTGCCTCCTTGTAGGCAAATTCGACTTCCTGGAGGTTGGATCCACAGCCCCATTTTTGGTGGCTGTGGCAGCCGCGTTTGACCCCGATGCCTTGGTCTGGAGTGACGACCCGACGGACGTCCGTGGACCCGTCAACTGCACACTAGAGCAGTTGGCATTTGCTATTTTTAAGTTGAAAAAAAGGATTGGTGACCCGCTGGGCACGGGACGTGTTGTTGGGCTTAGGGATTTTTGGGGTTTGAAGATGGAGTTCAAAGAACTCCAGGAAATGTTTGCTTTCGCAGACGAGGGCTTGTGGCAGTATTACGAGATCAAGGTGTAATCTTGATGTGCCACATCCTCTTGTGTATTAGATGTGTGTATGTGTTGTATATTGGACACGGAAAATGAGCACAATGAGATGGAACAAACTTCTACTGTGATTTTCCTTGTTTAGGGAAATGTAAAAATTGATTCTGTGTACGCACAATGCTCTTCCTCCAACAATGCATTGTCTTGTTGTTTGTATGCCACCCCAATCTCTGAAATGGTTGGCGTATTCTCTACTTCCTACACACACTTATGTGCATCCCTTGAGCCAGCCTAATGAACGCTACCAATCATCGCTCGAGATCGCTCAAGATCAAGACAACAGAAGCCCAGCAACTCGACAAGCTCCTGATCTTGCGATGCACAAGATCTTGCCGATGGCAGTCGTTGCGAATATGTATCCAATCGTTCTTGCACAGAAACGCATGGCAGATCCATTGCAAACTCTGTAGAGAGAGTGAATATCCAATCTTGCCCAGGCAACGAATTGCGGATCCAATGAGAACTCCTTGCAGACAACCAAGATCCATTCTTGCCCTCGAAGCACATGGCGGACGCACAAAGCAAATTTCTTGCCCACGAATGACAACAACAGCAATGCACATGCATTGATTCTTCAGCCCTGAGCAATCTCAAGGGCCGCCGCGGCGTGCGCTACAATCCGATGCCCCCCTACCGCCTCCCCTGCCACCTCGCCGCCCGCTGCCACCGATGCGCATGCCGTGGTTCCCACCGCACGCTGCTGCTGCGGCTCTTAAGGGCGGCCAGAACGCCAGCGAACGCCTCGCCATGGGCCGGGCCCGGGTCTTCCCAGTTGTCAGCGCCGTGTTTGCTGTGCTCCGGTGGTGGGTCCTGCAACCGGGAGTTGACTCGTCAACAGCATGTGCGGCGGTGGCCGCCTATTCTGACAGGCACCAGTGAGAATGATTCTGGCATTATTACATTACGCCCGGAGGTGGGCCGTCCAGGAACGGGGACGGGAATGGGAACGGGGACGAACCGGAGTCCGTTCCCGTCCTTGGGCCGGCAGGCCCAGGAACGGCTGAGGAACGGCCCGTCCCTGGGCTGGAACGGACTCGGGACGGAACTGGAACGGTGTACTGCCGTCCCAACTCCGTTCCGGCACAGTACGGCCCACCTGGGCGTCCGTTCCTGTACCGCTCCATGCCATGCCTCCCTCCGTTCCAGCATGTCATAGAGTCCGTTCCTATCCGGCAACATCACACGTGGGCCAATCAGAATTGTATGATGCAGTTGGAAGCGCCCGTCCTGCATTTGTTCATCAATGATGGGTGCTCCCAAGTGCGTCATGCAATTCCTGGCCTTCTTGCCACCACACATCGCTGCCGCCTTGTGGGGAGGCGCTGGTGGTGCCCACCATCGGTGGCAAGCACAAGGACGGACGCGGGAGGCACGTGGAGGCGGAGGCAAGTGCTGTGAGGCGACGCAGCCTCACCAGGTGCGTGAAATCGGCGCTCAAAGCGCCAATTGAGAGGCATCGGAGAGGTGCCAAAAAAGGGTGAGATCTGGGCGGCCAGGCGCTTGCTGACCCGAACGGTCAACAAAGGGGAGGGGGCGGGGGAGGGAAGGGCAGAATGTGCCAAGGGAAAGGGAGGGGAGATGGCAATAACCCCCTTGCTCACTAGAATCGCTGCGGGGGGCTAACGATCTGCCCCGTCGATTTCCGAATTAGGCTTGATGGAGCTGGGGAAAGCTGGGCGGTCACAAAAGGGAGGCCGGGGAGGGCAGGTAACGTGGCCAAAATAGGGGGAGGAGAGACGGCCAAAGGCCACTCGCTTGTTAGAATCGTCCCTAGAATCGCAAGTGAATCTGGCGTTGTGGTGAGATGGTCACCACGTTGGGTGCACCACCCAACGGCCCGAGTTCGATTCTCGGCAGCGCCTTAGCTTGCTGGTGGTCAACAAAAGGGGGAGCAGGGAGGGGAGGGCAACGTAGGCCAAAATAGAGGAAGGGGAGAGGCCAAAGGCTCCCTTGCCCTTAGAATCGCTGCGAGCGGGTAATGTTTTGCCCACTCCCATTTTGAATTGGACACGATGGGAGGCAGCCGTGCGGCAAGCTACCCACCAAAATGTTATCAATACAACCAAGGCATGTTGGTGCCCCTTTCGCCGCTATGTGGGCACACGCCTCAGCCCACGCTTGGGCCATCAATTGCCGCCTCCGATGGTGGGAAGATTGCTTGCAAGAGGCGTCCACCGTTTCGGCAGCTCCCCTTGCCATGGCATGTGGTAGCTCAACAACAATTGGTTTTGATCGTTAGCAACGCCCGGCCGCTGCAAGCCCTTGCCGTGTTTTGTTGTCCATTCTTGTTGGAACGGAGTCCGTTCCACGATGGGAACGGACCCGTTCCAACCCTGTTCCTGGCCGGCCCAGATCCGGCCCAAATCCGTTCCTTGGGAATGGCCCAGGAACGGACTGGAACGGACTGGGACGGACTGGGATGGGAACGGGGACGGATCCGTTCCTGGGACGGGGACGGACACCGTTCCCGTTCCCGTTCCTACCAAATCTGGACGGGCCCACCTCTGATTACGCCGGCGCTGTACCGGCAGATGTCCACCGTCATTTAGAGGTTCTAGTTTCTGTCATTCCCGCCAAACCCCACCTACCCCGTGCTGTGCTACCATGTCCGTGCTGTGCTACCGTGGCGTGGAGCAACGGCAGCCACTAGTCCGAGTGAGATGCCGCGCTCCAAGGACAGGCACGCGCGGCCACCGGCCCACGCCCGCGAGTCGCACGGCTCCCTCCCCGCCGATCTGCCCAACAAGAAGCACCGCACGGGGCAATCCAACGACGAGGTCTGCCCCCCTGCCCCCCGCCGCCCGCCTGGCCCGCCGTCCGCATCGCCGTGTCCCGGTGCCGAGTGTTCTCGCTTCTCGCATCGCGGGTGGCAGATTGTGGATGATCAGCGGCTGCTGAGGGCGAGCAGGGAGATCGCCCGGCCGAGGCTGCTGCCCATGGCCGACCACTAGGCGTTCGTGTTCCCGGACAAGCCCTCGCCACCGTACAGCCCGCCGCATAAGGTGCGCCCCCGGCCTCGCCTCACCGCACAGCCCGATCGAGACACCCCTGCCGCCGGTGGCTGACGGTCGCCGCGTGTGTTCGTCCGTGATTGTGCAGGAATGGTACTACGTCTGGCTCGGCGACAACCTGTCCTCACGGTGTAAGCGCCAGAACTGGTGGTTTCTGTGCCTGGGAAGTACTGCCCCTGCAATTCTGGGCGTGGGCCTATGAGTCGCGCCTTTGCCGTTTGGACGCAGACAAGGTTCTTGCGAGGATCGGAGAGGGTAGGTGGTTGAATTTCAGCTCGCGGCCGACGGTTGCAACGGACCGCAGCTGCTCTCCTCGGCTATGGATCCCCGCAGCTTCTGATCAAGGCGAGTTCCATCGCAGGATCCTTTGAACATGTGCTGGAATGCCGGGAGCGGGAGAATAATGTGGCGATTGAAGTCATTCGCAACATATCAAAGTACCGTGACGCCACCATTATCAAGGTAAGGCGAGGGTGGAAATGCGGCCATTGTCGGCCAGTCCCTGTGCCGGCTGCTCACTAACTGTGGAACCATTATGATGGATGCACATATGGGGGCTTCAATGGCAAGAGTGTAGCACACCCAATTCTTCAAACCACCTACCTAAACAACGCATGACCCATGATCTAATGCAGAAAGGATATATGGTGAATGGTAGCCTGCCTGGCAATGCGCTAGAAGTTGAAAGCCCTGGCTGAAAGTGTGTGGAAATCGCCTGACGGATAGAGGAGCAGCCTTGTTGCTTTGCATACTTGTTTGATGCATGGATACATGGCATTCATGGTGGCTTGTGCAGTGCAGCTGGAGGTGCTGAACACACTTCAAGTAAACGACCCTGAAGGGAAGAGGCGGGTCATCAGAAGAGACACCCTTTGTGTTGTTCAGCAGGCTATACGCATGCATGTTGTGATTTGGCTTAATACTGTGGGCGCTGCTGTTGCAGGTACTGTATGGGCACCCATGAATGGTTTGATTGCCGAGGACATGTGTGCAAGGTGAGTGTCCTTCTGTGCTGTGAAGGAGACTTGATGCATCCAGATTCCAGCAAGGTGTTCATTGTTGTTTACATTTCCTGCTAGAATGTGGAGGTGTGAGCATGGTTCAGAAGTCAAATTATGTGGGGATGTTTGCTGTATGGCTGGTGCTCCTTAGCATTGATCAAAGTCATTGTGCTGTAGCCATGTGCCATTGCGTTGGCACTGTGATCGTATCAGTGCACTGTTCATCTCAATCTCAAAAACTTTTCCAGTTTTTGTAGTCATGCCACAAAGACTTGTGCCACTTGCTTCCAGTCTGCACACGCGGCAAGCTTGTCTTTTCACAGGGAAATGATCGAAAAGGTTTCTTCCATTTTGTCCTGCAGGATTTCGAAAGGCTTGAGCCAGCCTGTACTATTTCCTGCAGCAGATTGACTGCCATCCAGTTTCCATTCCTGTGGTGCAGTTGCTGGAAGCCATTGCATACATGCAGTAGATCAAGCTCATACACACAGACCTGAAGCCTGAGAACATACTGCTGGAGCGACATGGGGTAGAAAAGGTCGGCAGCACCCCATCAACTGGAGACCGCTGTCTGCATGACCGCAGAGTCACAAGGTGGTTCTATCTCAGAGCACAACCAATGCCAGCCCAGATATTTGTACTTGCACTTGCCCACCGTCACGTCTTGCACAGATCGTGGAGGATGTGTTGTGTCTGCCTGCTGTGGAGGATGTGCCCGCTGATTGTTTTGAAGTTTCATCGATTAGGGTTGCAGTAATCAGCAAACGGCAGGGTAAGGTTGTATTCATGGCAATGTTGCACAGATTGTTGTGTGACATGTCAGGGAGCTGGTGTGTGCTGACACTGTGCAAGTGTGTGTGACAGGTGGAGAGGTGGCGACGGCGAGGATGGTGTGGTGATGTCGACACAGGTGGTGGCCACCCATGGGCTGCTGGTGCAGTATTGCATGATGGTGCCAAGGCTCAACTAGGGTGGCAGTCTGGCAGGCATCGGTGCAAAGGAATGGTTAATGGGAGTTGTGTTGTCACTGCATTCATAATAAATAGCTGCTTAGAGAACTGAGAGGGGGATGATTTAATGGGTAGTTGCTTGGCCAGAGATATGGACGCAATTTGATCTGCAGTTGTTGTAAAATCTGTAAAGCAATTCGTTTCAGAGATTGTGTGCGCCTCTCGTTGACGACCGTACGCGCCCATTGTGAGCGCCACATATTCAGCATATGGTCATATCCTCGTCCATATCCCTCCCATATCCTCGCCATATCCCAGGATATGGGCTCCCATATCCTGGGATATGCCATATCCTCGTCCATATCCCTCCCATATCCTCGCCATATCCAGGATATGGGCTCCCATATCCTCGTCCATATCCTCGCCACATCCCAGGATATGGGCGCCCATATCCTGGATATGGGCCGCCCATATCCAGGATATGCATATCCTCCCTTATCATGTTCGATATCCTGGATATGGGTGAGGATATGGGCGTTTCCATATCCTAGGATATGTAACTTTTTTCCGACGAAGTCATTGGTTCAGCTGCATGTGGATTTGCCATGGGTCTGTCAGGCAAGATGCGCAAATTATAACACATCCACAAGGTGCGTTCATTTTGTTGGCATCTTGTACAAGTATCTGGGCGACATAAATTTGTTGTAGATGATACCGAATTCCATATCGAGAACAACAATAACGATGTTGAAACACCAATAGGCAATGTTGCTACTGTGTCCTCACTACATCACCTGCTCTTCTACAACCTCCACCATCCTACTACCAAAAAGTGAATCGCGTTTCACCTGCACCCTAACCCTAACACCTTGTCCTACAACGCACTTCCGTCTGCAATGCTGCTTTTCGACTACAATGGAGTTCATTCCAATCCAATATCTATGCCCCTTCCCTGCACCACACACACGCGCACACACAGAGACACACAACATATAAGAGCGCCCTACTATATGCATCTGTTATCATCATCACTGCTGCTCTGTCTGCAGCAGCATGTCCTGATAGCAAAGAGCGAAATTACGCTGTCATATTGCCTGCAAAAACTCGCCTTCCCAGTGCACATCACAATGCGGTGGTGTCTTGCATGTCCCACTCTCTGTTGGACACACAAGCCAAAGAGCAGGGATGTCTGCCCTTGCTTATTGAAAAAATTGCTGCCCACTCTGGCAAACATCAACAATCAGCATACCTACCCCAAAACCTTCAAACCAATCCGGATTCTGGTGCTGCAGCCTTCTGTGTCAGTGGCAGGAAATCTACTTGGCCAGGCCAGCTGCCCATGCCAATACGCTGTGTTTCACGCACTCCAGCAATAGGTGCCTTCCAAGCACTGCAAACTGCCAAAACGATGTGCCAGCCTGCTTCTCACACAAGAGCACCCCACCTCCTCTCAATTCGAATCAGGCATGGGCGGCAATGCACCAAGGAATTGCCTCCAGGCCAGCTGTGCCTTTCACACATACGATCAGACATCTGCCAAAAAGCCACACTGGCTGTCTACACACCTGCGAAGCATTAATGGCCCCATGTGCCAAATGCATATTAATGCACAACAAGCAGAATGTGCTAAACCCATAGTGAACAGTTCACTTGTCCATATAGTCCCTGCATTCCAGATTCGGTTTGCACAACGTCATGGCCCTTGGATGACTCTCCAACAAGCGCAAGAGAGCTCCAAAAATGAGTAGACCCAATACTGTCCAAACCTGTCAGACCCTGATACTGGAAAAGATGGTCATGGCCTCCTCACCACTTAGCGCTTCACCAATAGGCTGCAAATTGTATGCATAATGATGCTACGCAACACAGAACTGAAGCACCCTCTCATTCAACCCTTCCTTCCATAACAGCTGTTGCCCAGCTGACACCCCTCAAGGAGAAATCTGAAACCTTGTTGACAGCTCCTGACTGATCGACTTTCTTTCAAGAGAACTTCTCTCCACCAGACCTGGCACCCCCTCTTCAGGAATTGCTGCCAGTCCCCAGCTCTGCGAAGCATCAGCTGCAGCTTCACCACCCTCAGAAACACCAACATCCCCCTGCAGCTCTTCTGCTTCAGCTTTAGCCTCTCCAGATAGAGTTGGACATGACAAAGATCTTGAAATCGACTTGAAACTGTCAGGGAGTTCTTGGGCGATCAAGGTGCTGATATAGTCAGCTTCCTCTGCACCAATGCTCAGACTCAGATGACTGTGCTCTTCAAGCATTTCCTGAACAATCTTGGCAGGTGTGTCATCCTCCAGGTTGAAAGGGAACTGGATAGCCTTTCTTTTGCCTGGAAAAGGAAACAAAACAAAGTTGGTGAATGTGCAGGTTCAAGCAACCAGCACCAACACTTCATGATTGCAAGGGCAACGTTCTCGTATGTCTGGCCAACAAAGTTGGCATCAATCATAAAACCACAATGCTGCAAGTACAACTTTCCACGTTATGATCTGTGAACAAAACAAGTGCAGTCTGCAGACTGCAGTGTACTTGCACACAACATGGCCAAACAATGGCAGCCATGTCATCCATCACTGCCAAATCAGACCACAACAGTAGACAGCTCAAAGCATGATCATGGAAACACCACAACCCATTCAGTGCACTTGTGCACACCGCCACATTTGCTTTCTTTCCTATGATACCTTGCTTGTCATCAAAGTTGAGCTGTAACAGTACTTCGTGCTCTTCGTCTTCAGAGCCACACTTCTGGACACTAAAATTCTGAGCGTAGCAACGAGAAAAGGGCGATGCTGCTGGAAAAGGTCGCAGGGGTGGGCGGGCAAGTCCCTCCTGGCCATCCACCTCGCCTTCAGATTCGCTAGTTTGCGATGGTGAGGTCACCACATCCTCTCCCTGACGTTTGTCAGGACACTGCCTGAAGCCTTTGAAAAAGTCATGCTTCAGTAACTGACGGGCTGCAGGTCGATGGTGTGGGTCATATGAAATGCAATCCTCTATGAACTCCCGCAGCTCCTCATTTTCTAAATTCTGGAGTGCAGCAGGGTAGACACCCTGAGGCATGAGGAGGTCATCAAAATTCAGGCCATTAGGGCATCGCAACCATCATGCAATGACAGGTCGTCCTCAGATAACAATCAGATGGGCTGACAATAGACTTTGCAGTCAGAGCCTGTTTGCACACCCTGGCCTGACAAGCAAGCAATGCATGAAGGCACCGCAGCACTGCCAATGGACACCCATACACATGGTTTGAAGTCCTGTCTTTGCAGGTCTTACCCGAGAGACCTTCCTGTAGATCTGTGCAGCATTTGTACATTCGCTATAGGGATATTGCATGGTCACAAGTTCCAGCAGCAACATCCCAAAAGCATATACATCGACCTTTTCGTCGTATTTCTCGTCGTAGAATTCTGGTGCCATGAATTCGGGCGTGCCTACAACAACACTAACAGTCAACTAGTCCACATCCTCACACGTGAAATCAGCATGCTACTTGTGGGCAAGAGGGCAGAAGGACAACAACCAAAGCACCTGTTGAGATCTTCAGCTGGGCAGCCTTGCCCAACTGCAAACAGCAACATCTATGAACAAGCACAGCAGGACAGTCTAATGTCCACACAGGACATCTAAGGTCCTGATCTATGGTCGTCAGGGTAGGCCTACCTAGTAAAGCACATACCCTGCACCAAAAAGCTCTGCGCTGTGCAACAGAAACCTGCCACCCGTCTCTCAGGCAATCAATGTCCCTTGCGCAACAGTGTTCACTTGCTCTTTCAAGTGAACTTACCAAGAACGCTGAGGGGTGCAGTCATGCCTTTCCACAGCGTTGCCAGGCCAAGATCGCCGATTTTCAAAGTACCGGACACACCATTGACGAAAATGTTGTCACACTTGAGATCCCGATGCATTATCGGTGGATCATGGCCATGCAAGTAAACAAGGCCTTGCAAAATCTGCATGGCCCACTTCTTCAGGACATGAAGCTCCAAGTGCTTGTGCTTCTGGCGGAACCTGAGCATCAACAGCAGTTGTGCCATGCCGTCAGAACATAGACCACGATCACCAAGGTCTTGGAAGATTCAGGCCACTCAGGCACATCGATTGTTCCTGTTTCGAAAGGGTCCTTATAAGTTTTACATCAAACAGCTTCAGAGTGCTCAAACTAGGTCAAAGTGCGTTTGGGCCACCTAGCAGGGAGGAACATGCAGACGAACATGTAACAACTGGATTATCACGTACGCAAGCATACTTGTGAAGAATTTATGCCCAAACCCTGGGCTTACAGCTGCACACTTTTGTACCTACAGTTGTGATCCTGCAGGAATATGAACGGACAAGAAGCCAGCGAGGACATGCTATGCTATGGCTGGATCGTGCTGCCAAACATTCAGGTATCCTACAATGTCTGCTACAATGCAGTTAGGACATCAGTGTGGATGCCAGGCGCTCCACATAATTAAAAAGTCTGCCCATCAGGACCAGAGGCGAGCGTACTTGCTCAGTGAACCATCCGTAAAAAGCTCTGTGATGAAATTTATTGTGTCAGTCTTCTCATCGAGCCACGAGTCGATGAACGTCATTATATTTTTGTGTTTGAGGCGTTTCAGAGTCTCGATCTCTGCAAATAGGCGGCGCCTTTGCGTGTGCCTGCTTGCAGTATCCACCAGGTTGACCTTGTTCCAGGCAACCTCCATGCCTTCTTGCTCGTCAAACGCCTTGTACACGACCTTGAAGGCCCCCCTACCAAGGACTTCATCATACTGTCACGCACACAAACACCTTTGTGTTGACATTCTTTCTCGAGCGTCGGCCACAGATAGCCAATCTGCAAGTCAGAGGCAAACAGCGGAGCCCTGCCCAAGCACCTTCAAGCGCCGCACAGGAATGTGGACCACAACCCCTTCAGCTGAGACGAACGGCGACGGCCCCTGGACAGCACAATGACCGCCCTTGCCTGCAGCCGTCCCGGCACACCCACAATGTGGCTTTTCCGAGCCAGGTCCAGGCCAAGATGGGATCCAGGGGAGGAACCGCGATCCGATTAGGGCTTCACAGCTGGCCGCCCGGCATGGGGTGCAGAAAGCTGGACCTCCCCTCTGTGACTGGCTGCTACTGGTGCGGTGGAACACAGCCACTCAGATGGAGGCTCCAGGTGTGGCTGTGGTGCAAAAGCGCTGCACAGTGCCCACCTGGGCGGTGGGCACTCCGAACTGTATCATGTGCTGGCTTTCAGCAGCTGCCGAGGGCCGTCCCACATTTCCGGCGCCCATGACGTAGGCAACGATTGCCCCGCAGGCCAGAACTCCACCACGTATGGATTTCCTCTACCCCTCCCCCAACTCGTACCAAGCAGTGCGGACACCTACCCTCCAGAAGCGGCCGCTTGGGTCTCGTTCCACAGCTTCCGGCAGCCACGTGTCCTCCGAGACTGCCGAACGAACGGACAGCTGTTCCATGAGCTGCCTCGCCGACATGGTAGAAGGGCACGATGCGGGCTCGAGAGGACCGAGTCACACTGGACACCAACGCCACGACGGCCCCTCAGATGGAGAAGGATGCACAACAGCTCCTGGCCACCAATCGGGGTCCCGAGTCGTGTTCGAAGCAGTTCATATCCAAGCCCACAAGCCAGAATGGAGGTGGGCAGCTCGAGCGGGCCCGAAACTTGCGCAGGTCGCGGGCTGAGGTCGGTGCTTTGGGGCGTGGCCACACATGGGTGTGAAAGAGAGGTACTCGAGCTGCCCAATTTCGGGCAACAGCCCCTAGGGGAGCATGCACAAGAAAAAGATCCGTGCGATTTCCTTCCCCATACTTCCGCAATCACTAAATTGTTCATTATTCAGCGGGGCTTGTGGGATCTGCTTCAATTTCGCACCTTCCCATTTCCAATCAATTGGAATGGGAAGCTAGTAGGCACGGATTTTAGTGTGTTTGAGGCATTGCAAAAGGATATATATAAAAGGGGCTTCCACATGGTTTTTGAGCCATAGTTTATGTAAGTTTGCCCACGACCTTGTCTGCTTGGAGATGCAGTTCCACACATGCAAAAGGCAAAGGTCAATCACACAACTTCCAATGAAGAGGTGGTTGAAGCTCCTCACTGAACAAGGGCAAAGACAAATATGGACTAGTGCATTGTCATTAAAAAAAATGTTTCGCAAACTTGCATCGTATTTGCAACTCTACAGTATTCTCATGAGTATGCTCATTCTGCATCATGGCGTACGATAGGCGGAGGATGCATTTGTTTTCCATTGCATAGATTACTCAAGCCACTTGGCCCCATCGCTATTGTTGATTCAGCGATGCAAGAACCATATAGAATTAGATGCGTTCACAACAAGACGTGTTCAAACAACGTGAGTGTGAAAGTCACAAAACGAACTTAATGTTCGTTTTAATAAGTGACTTCATGTAATGACTTAAGGCGTTTAAGATGCCAAAATAGGTTATTTTGGGCATTTTCAATGACTAACTGGGTTGATAGGGGAAAAATTGAATCAAAAAATTAATCGTGATTTAATTATATTTTAATCGTGTTTAATCATTTTTAATTATGATTAGTCATGCTTAATCATGTTTAGATGATGAATTGTGCAAATATATGTCAAAATGTTTATGGAATATTGCAAGAATATTCTTAAGTAATAATCCCAAAATATCTTAGGAATCTAAGGGTATATTCTTAGGGGGTACGCCAAGTATAAATGAAGAGGCCTGAAGTTCATTTTAATATCTAAAAAAGCCTCACCTTGGAGCCCTTGGCCTTGGGCACTCTAAGAGGAAGAATTTAAAGGCTTGAATGAAGGGATCTATTTTTTATAGCTAAGGCGGTGTCACGGCCCTATTGGCAGCCGCTGGTTTCCAGAGGCATCGGGGTCACCCAGTTTTGCAACATGACCATAGGAGGTTGGTTGGCCTCTCCACCTTGGACAGTGGCCGTATCCGGAGCAGTCGAATGTGTAGTCGCATAGTGGGCCCAATGCTCGATGGGGATCAATCCCCGGGGCATGCTGTTGGCGAGAGTTGGTGGCACAGTGCTGCGGCAGCAGTGTGGTGGCAGTTTGCTAGCTTGCAGAAGGCTAAGGAGTATGCCAAAGAGAGTTACAGGATTCCATGTATGCGCGTGCACATATCTGCAAATGCAATGCCCGATTGCGGGTCCATCATAGTCATATTAAGATAAGACAATGCATGTGCGCATCCAGACACTATGTCCCCCGTTTACCCACGATCAACTTGTTTCTCTTGTGACTTAAGAATTAACCTCCATCCGTCTATAACCCTAAGTAGTGCAGTTTCACAAGGCTATAACTTCGCTATTTCTTAAGCATTCGGGCATTCCAAAAGCCTAAGAGCATTAGGAACTTTTGAATAAGCCCATATTGTTATGGTGTGGTTTCCGGCCGGGATGGACGGCCCTCGCTGTCGCCCAATCGCCGCGTATACCGCGGCTTCATGCCGGGTATCCCGCGGCCTCACGCCAGAATTGGCATGGTCGATCGGGGCGCTCGCTCCTCCGGTCTCGCGTGGTGGGCCCTGGTCGCTGAACCGATGGCTTGGGTGCTGCTAGGGATGGATGGGCCGGCGGCACGGTGTGCTCTCACGCGTTGTGGTCAGACGGGTAAGGAAAAAGGTGCAGAACGGGTTACAGGGTCCCGCGGACTGCACAGGACTCAAAACACACTGCGCAGGCTGACTCACCCTATATTGGGTGAGCCAGGACACCATACAATAATGTATTATCACTGTAACGTACGGACCGTCCACTAGTGTACCCAACAATCCAACAATCCCATTGTTTTTCCCCAACAGATGACAAGCCATAGCCAAAATTGTGACCTCAAGGCGCATGGCTTTAACTCCCCCATATACGCACACAACAGTACTCCTTCCTGGGGGAGTTTTTGCCCTCAAAAACACTAGTCCCCATAAACCAGTGTACCTCTACCTCTACCCATTGTAGACCTATGTCTGATCTTCAATAGGCTTGTCACGGGCTATCATCTTTTTCAACTCTTTGGGATAGTCAGAATTGTCTTCAGGCACCCAAGAAGCGTCATCAATAGACCAGCTTGTCCAAAGTACCAGAAACTCCTTGACCTTCTTGTGACTGGGTCCTCTCCAGCGCCACCTCAGAAGCTTCTCGACGTCATAAGGCTCATCGTCCTTAGGCTCAATCTCCTCTGTACTAGCAGCTGCACTTGAGAGTGTCCACCTTGACATCCTGAATGGTCGTAGCAAGCTCGTATGAAAGACTCGATAAATCCTCCAAGCCTCTGGTAGGTCAAGTTCATAGGCCACCTTCCCAATTCTGCACAAGACGAAGAATGGGCCTATGGATCTTTTCCTGAGCTTGCGAACAGGTGCGTTTTTGAGCGAAAGATGCTCTGTACTGAGTTGCACCTGGTCCCCTTGATGAAATAGCTGCTCTCTGCGCCGCTGGTCGGCCTGTACCTTCTGTCGCTGTTGAGCCCGCTGGACATATTGCATAGCCCTCTGAAAAGTCTTCTGCATCCGGGATACAAAAAATTTTTGTACAAAAAACATTTAATGTTGACACCCTCTATCTTGGTAGTGCCACTATCCCGAATGAGGTCCAATGGTGTACACGGCTCATAACCATAGTTAAGGTAGAATGGCGTGTACCCTGTAGCCTGTGACACACTGTGGTTCATGACGAATTCCACAATAGAGAGAAACTTTTCCCAGTTGGCACCCTCTAACGACTCGTGGATGATGCATCTGAATATCATTTCTACCACCCTATTCATAGCCTCCGTGAGTCCATCTGTCTGTGGGTCGTGTGATGTGGACATCCGCAGCTTGCTCCCCATAATCCTCCAGAACTCACGCCAGAACCTCGAGATGAATCTGGGGTCTTTATCTGAAACGATGGACCATGGAATCCCGTGCAACTTCCCAACATGGTCCCAATATAACCTCGCAATGTATGCTGCTGTAAGTGTCTGCTTAACTAGGACTAGATGTACCATTTTTGTCGCACGGTCCACCATTGTCAGAATCCCATCGTTGCTCTGCTCACTGATCGGCAACCCCATGATGAAGTCCATACTGGCATCAACCTATTTCTCCTCTGGAAGCTCCAATGGCTACAACAATCTTGCTGGCATTCGGTGGACGCTCTTCTCCATCTGGCAGACCTGGCAACCCAAGACAAAATCTCGAATATCCACAGTATGGTCTGGCCAATAGAAGCTCTGCTAAATAGACGTGGCCGCTCAGCTTTTTTTCTGTTAATTTATTTCTGTACTTTTTCTGAACACAAACAATCCGTCCGTCCATTTCTGTTACTTTGTTGGGGCTTGGTTTTTGTAGCCGTTCATGCCACGTCAACTTTCAATTTTTTGGCTCTGGATCTGTCTGTCAAGGGGGTGTTTGCAGCCACCGTTTTCTGTAAAAGTGCTTTTTTCCGTTGCCTTTCCTTGCATTCCGTTGCCATCCATTAGGAACTTGAAGATTCTGGTAGTGTTCTGTTGGTCAGCGGCAGTTTCTGTCGGAGGCAATTTTTTCTGAGCAGATTTTTTTTCTGTGTCCAGCAACCTTTGCCTCTATATATGGGCCACAATAATGATATAACGAGGTGCAATATTAATACATGTATAAACAACGCATGTCTACCTATTTGCAGCCCATGCCATCATAAATGCTGCCTCGGCCGGTACTCCTTGCCAAACTAGGGACGCAACCCGTTGTTCTTTCCCGGCCATCCCTTGCCAACGCTAAACTACATTTATTAACACAACCTACTATAAACAAGGCGTCTGGCCATCCGGTCCGGGAACGAGACCCGCTGTGCGACGGTTATCCATCACCTTTGCCAAAGCACATTGTATTTTGTACTTAGTACAGGCGTCCGTACTTGCTCCGTGAACTTTGATGGAATTCTGTCGAATTCTGTGATTCGGTCAACAATTCTGTTATAGGAGCCTGTCATCCGTTGGTTGCGGCGCGGATTCTGTAACCCATGGTTCCATTCTGGAAGGCTGTGTGGATTTTTGTAGTTGTATATGCTGACGTCAGTATAGCCCCGCCCATTTCTGTAAAACACCTTTTCTCTCTGTGGCCCGCTCACAAATTCTGTTGATTGTACAGAATTTTTACGGAGCCAACCAAATTCTGTTGTGGATGGATAGAGGGGGCCACGTCTACTGCTAAATCTTCTTAAGTGTCTTCTGATAACCTTGATGTCCAGAGTAAGGTACAACATGCAGCTTCTCCATGATCTTCCTCTTAATCTTTGGTACATCAGTTATCACCAATCGCCAATGCTGAATGTCTCTGTCCTGATCTCTCGTGTGCACCTCCAACAACAATCCATGTGTTATCCGGTATACACTGGTTCCCATCTGAATGGTCTGCTCCTGAGACGACTGCAACTAAGATAAAATGTTGTCCCATCTGGTGTCCGCCTGATAACCTTTCTGATTGTCTTCTCTCAGAGTAGTATCCA